CTCTAAGCTTGATGGTTTTCTTGGAGACATCTAATTTCCAAACTAGGTAACATCATCAGTGCGAGAAGAGAGTGGGGTTTGTGGAGAGGCGGAGGAGGAAGACTGTGGGGTCCTGGGTGCTCTCTGAGATTGATTGCTTCTTGCAGACATTTCATGACTCAACTAGGTTACTTCATCAGGGCTAGAAGGGAGGAGGAGGAGGAAAGTAGTTATGAGGTCCTTGGTAGTCTTGGAGAAGCTTCATTACCAAACTAAGTAACATTATCAGTGCAGGAAAGGAGTGGGGTTTGTGCAGAGGAGGAGGAGTGTGGGGCCCTCGATGCTTTCCAAGCTTGATGGTTTTCCTCCAGACGTTTCATGATCCAACTATGTAACATCATCAGCGCTAGAAGGGAGAGAGAGGAATGTGGAGAGGATTTTCCTGACAGTGACAACAATCAATGGACTTGCCTCCAGATGTCTTGGGCTTTCAAGAAGAGATTGCACATCCATTTGTCTTGAATGGTGCAGGGTCTCCTGCTTGAGTGAGAGGCTGGACTAGAAGACCTCCAAGCTCCCTTCGGACTCTGTTATTCCGTACTGCGGACCGATTCCTCCCTCAAAAATTGTTTCCCCCCCCCCACTTTGTGACCTCAGCCAACAGCAACTTCTAAAACCAGGCAAATGTGCGCTAACTTTTCGCTGTCTTCCTCCACCTTCCCCCCTCCCCTCAGCACCCAGAATGCAGCTGGGGGCCCTGACCCCAAAAGTGGAAGGTTCAGAAGGACCCTCACCACTGTCAAAACAAGGAAGGAGGGATCCCAATTACACTAACGAGGAGACCCAAAGACCAAGGCTGATAATTAAGACAGGAAGTGGAAGGGGGGGGGAACGGAACAGAAGGTGGCACACGGAATGCCCTTTTCATCTTGGCTGTTTCAACACAGAATGGAAATTTCGTGCACAAGTCAGAATTGCACATTTCAAGCTAAAAGTGAAGCCTGTGGAACAATTCCTTTCCTTT